ACTGAGCTACTGTATAGTGTGTTAAACAATTAATAATTCTCTTACCCTGCAGTTGTTGAGAATAGTCCCCTTGGAATAAAAAGACTGCTAATGCTCTGTCTCATTGGACACAGAACCAGGCCCTGCACATGTTCATTTCTAAAGCATTTTTGCAAATATAGGCGTTTGTTACTGAACTACTAATGCTAGTGAAGTAACGTGTACAAATTCAGCGGGATAGCTCTGTTAGTCTGCTTCAGCAACTACAATGAGGCTCTTAAAAATGAATACATTTATTAGGGCATAAGTGTTCATGGGCTGGAGCCCACTTTGTCAGCTGTAAGGATGTTAAAGACAGCTTAGTTGGCTAATTGTGAACAATTTGTATCAACTACACGATTAGTCTATAAGGGAAAACCGTTCTGCAGAACCACAGCAGGGGTAGCTCTCAGAGCCGGCACCAGCCAGGATTACTCAGTCCCGGCTGGCGTTGGCTCCAGACCACTGCAGCTCTGCATTTTAAATGTAGGAAGAGCCTCATGGCTTTTGGCTGCTGTGAACAAAGGCTAATCCAGCAGCAGCCTCTGTTTGCAGCACCCCAGAGCTGGCTGCATACAGGGGAGGCGAGGCAGCACTGGCTCCTGTCCCTCCCTCTTGCTTCCTCTCATACAGAGAGAGGCTGCAAGGGGGGGAGCAAGTAGTCAAGTACTCGACTTCCTGATAAGCTTAGCCTTAGCGGATAGTCAAGAAGTGGACTACTTGCTTACATCCCTAGTCAGCTGCATTGAAGAAGTGGGTCCAGCTCACAAAATCTAATAAATGTTTTAGTCTTTAAGTTGCCACGGGCAGCAGTTCCTACAAACTAGAACTCAGGAGGGCTGCAGTATCATTTGTGCACCAAAAGATCACAGATCTTGGGTGAAATACAAATCTGTGGGTAAACACTTGACTATGCGGATATCAGTTTAGTTTTACCATGAAGTGAGCACATGCTGATGTAGGTTGCCGAATCAAGACCACAGTAGCTCCATCAACTTTAGTGGAACTCAGTCATACATAAAAATAGGCATGGAACATAAGGTAGAAATACTTTCCAGCAAATTTCATTCAGAGCTCCTAAAGGACCCACTGACATCAGATAAATTTGGCCATCACTTTAATGTGTTTCAAAGAAAATGGAGACCTGCATGATCTGACAGTGCACCAAATACAATAGTTGGCTCATTGTGTTTCCTTCAAAACAGATACTTTTAATGTTAAATGCCTTTCTGTGGTTGAAACAGTAGCCCTCCAGAGTGATGAGGTAGAATAAAACTGACGTACAAGGTGCTAGTGGTATTCTCATTAATACACTTTTTTTGGAGGCACAAAATCAAATGCTTCTTAAAGAAAAAACGGGTCCTAGTAGAGTGTGGCAACCATCTTCAGCAGAGATGGTTTGACCAAAACTAGAAAAGGAAGCAGGTAGCTTCCATCTACACCCCTTCATCTTTCTATAAGAACATTAGGTTTTTTTTTTAAATTTAACCATGGGGTAGAGAGAGACTGTCTTAACTGGGGAAAGCTCAGAATTTCTTCCAATCTATATAGACAACATCTGAAATTTGCATCCCAAAGGAAGCGGGGGAACTAGATGAACCCCCACCTCAAATACATTAATAGTAAGTAGAGAGTCCATAGGGAACAGAAAAATGGGCTGATCAGAAAGAAAGCTACACTGTAGAGGTTAGAAGAGTATAGAAATAAAGGCCACGGCTACACTGCAGGCTTCTCGCACAAGAAGTTTTTTTTCAGAAGTGTAGGGGTTAATTGCAGAAGAATTTTGTACATGAAAGCATAGCGGTCGTGAGGCACAAATCCTCCCCCGTCCTCCTATATCTGATGAGCCAGAAAAAAAGCCTTCAGGAACATACACCATTTAAGATAGGTGGTGGTGCTGCTATTGTAACAAAAACAAGTTATAGATAAGAGTAGGGGAAAGGACAGGACAGGAACACGAAACAATATTGCTTAACCAGATGTATTAATCATGTAAACAAGGTCAAAGGACAAGCAGTACCAGATCGATAGTCAACAGCCAAGCCATACTGTAACATGTGATAAGTAACCCCCTGAAAGTTCCAAACTGCAAAACAGGATGAAAAACCTGTATATAAACTTCCAATAGTATGGCAATTTGGACCTCACCAATGGACTCTGGTACCAATGCCTCAGAAGCCTAGACAACTTCCCACTTGTCTGCAGCTGAATGGGGTTCCCAGATTGCAGAAGAGACATAAGAGCAACTTTTCCTATAATGTTTTTCTTTTAGTTAAGGGGTATAGCTGAAATCTGTCAGGAAATAAACTGCTTGTGTTTGACAGCCTGTTTTGTACTTAGAGAACCCAGTGTCAGACCTAAGAATTACTCTTGCCAGTTCTTTAAAAAGAAAGCTCCGATGGCTATTCTCAGAATAGCCAGCAGAGCACCTGTGCTTTTTTCGATTGGCTTTTTTTTTTGCACAAAACCCCCGTTACTCGTCCACACACACCTTTTTGCGCTAGAACTCTGGCGCAAAAAGGAGTTATTCCTCCTAGAAAGAGAATTACCTATACCACAAAGCCCCTCTGTTCTCTTGATTTACTGTACATTATCTTGTGCAAAAACACGCTTGAGCTTTGGATGCTCCGCGGGTTTTTGTGCAAAAACCCTGTAGGGTAGACATAGCCAACGTGAGAATTGCTAAATGTCAATGGATGTTGCTGGACCAGAAAGTCTTGGTTAAAAGAGTTGTAACCTGTATTATAGAGCAACTGGAAAGAAAAAGGTTAAAAACAGTGGAAGGTGTGGGGGAGTGTCACATGGGCTCAGTACAATCTTTTGTTTCCCAGGTTTAGTCCTTCCTTCGGTATGGATATTGCTCAGTATGTTCCAGGGTCAGTCCATGACTTTCAGCGCTCCTCTGGTCACACACAGAGGCTCTCTAGGACCCACTGTCTGAGAGTTTAACCCTTACAGGCAAAAGACAAGCCATGTACAGTGCTTGTGTTAACAGTGTGTTACAAAACTGTTAACATCCGTCACTGCAATTTAATAAATTAAGTGGCAGATATTGTGGTGGGCACAAAGCTTTGTTGCAGGAAATAAAGGCTAATAACCTGTTACTCTGCACTAATTCTATGGTTTCAGGGAGAACATTTGGGAGTGTCCTCCCACAGCATTCCAGCATGGTTTTTTTCCCCAATTGCTTTCTATCTTCTGCTCTGCTTTGGTTCAAGCCGGAGCAGAACTTAGATCCAACTGAAATTGGCTATTAAAAACAAAGTGCAATTCAGGGGGGAGTTGGCTAGCTGAGGAGCAAGTGGGCAGGGAGAATGCTCCCGGCCCAGCACAAGGAAGCGTCCTGCCCTAAGGCAAGCGGTTTGTTTGTTGCAGTTTTTCCGTCAGTCAGCAGGATTGCTGTCACTCATAGGGTTGCTCTATTTGCCTTTATTACATGCTGGTCTGTTTTCCAACCCACTCAAAGATGCTGTTTTAATTAAACATTCTAATTTCTTTACAAGTTTCGTACCATGAGGTCTGAACGTACCCACATGTAACAGTAGTGCTTCTGCTTTGATTTCGACTGATTTGGATAGCTGGAGGAGCCCCACACTTTAGTAGGTTGTGTAATGCTGCCTCGTGTATGGAACACCACACCACCTTGGTTTAGACCAGCCCATGCGAAAGCCATCATGTGTCTATTCTTTGGCATAAGAAAAGCAGCCAGAAAAAAAATTGTCTTGGCTTGTTTTCATTCATAAAGTTGGTGCCTTTCATAAAAGTGAGAAAGAAATAAAAGGAAAAAGGATATCTTTTAAAAGGAGACTGAACCATTTTTATTTGGGGAATGTTAAAAAAAACAACCACAACCATATACAATTCGAATAAGTACACCATAACCGTTTGTTCCCTAGTTCTTAGAATTACAGTATTTACAGGTTTCATAAGGCACTGGTTCCCAAAAAAGAACACAAATTAATCTCTGAAAAATCCTTATGTTGTCAACCTTTCTTCAAAACAAATAGTTTTATTTGTGCTAGAGAAGGGATAACAGTTGTTGCATGCTCTTTTCCTCCACGTTTTCTTCTCCCATTGTAGCTGCTATGCAGATAATGTGCAATGAAATCAAGAGGATTTAAGCCACTGACATGTAATAATGGACTCTGTTCGTGTTGGCCACATAGCACTTACAATTTGAATGTTACTTGCATACAGCTAACCAAACATCTGGTAATTGTGGTTTGAGGGCAAAATGTGGCCAAGTCTGTGGGAAAAGAGCATCTCCTCACACTGTTATACTTGTCAACCTGTGCATTTTCATAAATAAATAATGTTTCATTTAGTGCTTTATCATTCATAATATTTTACTCAATCCACATACTGGAGTTATTCTGACTTTCAACTAAATATATATTTAACATATAAACCTGAACATCTTAACATACACAAATGATCTGGCTGAAAAGAGGCCTCTCTCTTTTGTTACAGTATGGCAAGGAACACCGCCCCTGGAAGCTGAACTCCAATTACATTTATCTAGGTGCCACAAATAAATCAGGTTTGTCCACAATGGGAAAAGAAGAAGCATGTGAATGCTGAGGATAAATCCAGCACGCCAATTACAATCAAAACAGCATTTGTACCAGTTTAGTTCAAAACTAAACTTAATATAATCGCACAAAATAAAAGACAAAAGAAGGATAAGGAAGAATCCCCATTTCCAGCTAGATTTTGACAATAAATCATATGAAAATTAGAAGAAACAATACTTGTTCTGACTAAAATATTTCAGAGTATTATACTCTCTCTCAATCTAGAATTTCTCAAACATTTTTAACCATGAGATCTATGGCAAGAAATGAGAAATTCTGATAATAATATTTCAAACTGAAGTAGTACAGGTTGGACCGGGTCCCACATGAGGGATTTTGCTGGACCCCCGGCTGCCAGCCCACCACGTTCAGCCCGCAGGACTCCCCGCCAGCTCCTTACCTCCGAGGCTCCGGATTCTGTAGGGCAGCCATGCAAACCACACTGGGGTCTGGGTCCCACAGGGCAGACCTGCTGCCATGTGCTGGACAGCCCTGCCATCACCTCACTGTGGGCAGCTTACTGCCTTGCTGGCCCCGCAGGAATCCTTGCAACTGGCCGCCACTGGGATTCTCTGGTCCTGCAACATCTGTGCTGGACCATGGATGTTGCCAGACCAGAGAATCCTGGTTAAGAGAGTTTCAACCTGTACTTTAAAATTCCTTTATGAACTCACAGTGATTTACCAGTCCTGGAGTGGAAGATTCCATGACTGAGCAAAACCACCCAGGTGCGTAGAGGTTACTGCAAAGTTTAAAGTAATAAAGCTAAAGTTTCACACCATGTTTTAAAAAAAATGCGAGCCTAACCTTAGGCTCGAAATCCACAGTTTGGTGGTCTGGTCCAAAAGTGCTAAGCCCTCAGCTAATCCCAATGAAAAGTTTCCAACAGTTGTTGGGTGTGCCGCACTTCTGGAACTCAGGCCTCTTGGTTGAGCATCTAAGCGCAGATTTAGGGAACTAATTTTAGTCTTAGATTTTTGTTAACTTCCTCCCAAATACAAACATATTGTGGAAAATGTTCCTAATGTTAGAACTGTCACTCCTCAGATGCAGTTTAAAAAATTAATATTTATGCATTTCTGGGCTTTAAAACAAAAGTGATAGGACCTGATAATGTTCAGAAGTAATTTGAATAGCAATTCCCAAGTGACTTGGAGGAAGAGTCCAAAACAAATACATTGTCCCAATGGTTTCATGTTTCTGTAGCAACCATGGGATTTTTCTTCATCATAAACAGTAAAACTTAGTATTTTCTATCTATAAAGACCACAAACTACTCTCTATAACCGGAGAATGCTTGGACCAGATAGACTTATTCCACTAACTGCAGCTCGAGGTTTGGGTTGACAGAGAAATGCAGAGGGTCCAATCCTGCATAATATAAACCCAAACCACGCACTCAAATTTTAACTACCATCAGCTCTGTCCTTTCAGGCCTTATCAACAGGAAATTAAGACGAGACACTTCATTAAAAAAAAATCCTCTAGAAAAAACAGGACTTTTTCCGGCCAAAAAAGAGCTAATGTTTCATTTAAATGCTGAAGGGGAACTCACACTTGTCTTGTGTATGAGTGTCTCATATTCATATGAACAAAAGAATACAACACTTATCTGTGCTGGTAATATTCACGTTATAATCCAATGCCTTTCTCCTATGCAATGTTTGTATATACACCTCATAGCAGTTTCACTCACCAGCGGTTTCTCTGGTAAATGAAAGGCTGGTAGGATGAATCAAATTGGTTCTTCAGGAAACCTGGTCTTTTCATTTGCATTTCTATAAAAATGCTTTATTTTTCAGTAAGAAAGGCTAGAAAAAATGTGCTTTTGCTTATCATGCTAGAACCTATTCCAAGCAAGCTCCTAACAGAACCAGAACCCCAAGGGCGTATGAAGAACAAGGCCTATAGAACTGCCATTGATATATGGCTTCTGTTTATCTTCAATACTGTAAGTTCTGCCTGCAACAGGCTACTGGCAGAATGTCAGGAAAGTAGTCTTTCAACAACGGAATCTTTCTAACCAAGACACGCCTACCCTGTGAGAACAGAACACACAGGACTATGAAAAGTGGTCTCTGTAGGACGGTGGCATTAAGACAGTTACCTTTATCGTTTCTTTTAACTTCACAGCCTCTCCTGAATATTTTTGTTCTGTATTGTTTTGTTGGAGTGCAAATCTTTTTATAAATGAAAAAAGTCACTTTACTTTCATCTTCAGGCACAGTTTCTTCTGCTTTTTAATGTAACAATATAGGTCTTTACATCTAACCATAAGTTTCATTTTCATAAAATTTAAAGCAGTATCTTCTTTTAAACGGTCAAAAAATAAAATAGTAACAGGCTTTCACAGAAAGCAACATGCATAATCTTGAGCCAGTTACTGAAATGTTATTTCCCCGTGCCAACAGGGAGCGAATGAGCTTCTTCCAATCTTGTGGGTCCAAGTCTGCTGTTTTTGCAAAGGATCCTCTCCTCAAAAGATGTTAAATCTGTATTTGCTCTGAAGTATGACTGTGTTCAGATTATATATTAGTGAGGCTTCAGAATCCTCTTCGTGTCCTCTGATGACCAGGGAAAGTCAGTTTTTATGGGCTCTGGCAAGGGATGTCTTTTGCTGAATCAGAGTTTAATGTCCTGTGACTCTGACATTTTGGCAAGTGTTTTCTTTACTCTCAGGGCTGTGAGCCGAGAAGCAGGGTTGTGAGCCCAACACTCTGTCATGAGTTTCCCCATTTGTCTTAGGCACTGTGGAAAGAAAACATAAAAAAGGATTACCCCTGGGCCAGCTGGAATGCAAGACTGAAGTTGATGGCGGTCCTGAAAAACTCTAGGAAAAAGGCAAATGTCCTCTAAAACTGACGCCAGGTGCCATGCAACAAATAAAGGCGCACACACACAGTGGGATGACATTTTCTGTATATCGACTCCAGTTCTCAACATGTCCCTAAATCTGCATACTTAAGGACAAATTGGGCTCAATATTTGGCTCAAAAATCAAATAGCAGAACAACATTTCCTCCATCTCCCTTACCTGATGCCTAAGGAGAACTTCTCTGATAACTTCCCTGTGGTGTGGGCTGTAGATGTGGAAAGCAGCCCACTAAATGGGTCATGGGTAGAGTTGACTCTTCCCAGTCTGCAAAATGATGCTAGTGCTCCAGTACAGGCTGGACACGGTCACTTTTACAGCTGTTGCGCTGGAATAGTGGCTGCTGTCCTTCCCAACCCTCTTGCAGGATTTCTCATCCACCTGATATTATTCTGTATTACCCTCAGCTCCACAGTATAAAGGAGTCTGGTAGACGGATGTCTCCTGACTCTGACAATTTCTTTTTTTGTACCAGCTTAGTAGGGGATAGTCACTGGGCCTGTCATCGGAAAGGAAGTGCAGAGGACATGATGCACAGACTATTTTTCTGTCTATTCTTTGTCCATAGGCACAGAATCATAGAATCATAGAATCATAGAATAATAGGACTGGAAGGGACCTCGAGAGGTCATCGAGTCCAGCCCCGCGCCCTCAAGGCAGGATCAAGCTCCGTCTACACCATCCCTGACAGATGTCTATCTAACCTGTTCTTAAATATCTCCAGAGAGGGAGATTCCACCACCGCCCTTGGCAATTTATTCCAATATTTGACCACCCTGACAGGTAGGAATTTTTTCCTAATGTCCAATCTAAACCTCCCCTGCTGCACTTTAAGCCCATTACTCCTTGTCCTGTCCTCAGAAACCAAGAGGAACAAATTTTCTCCTTCCTCCTTGTGACGCCCTTTTAGATATTTGAAAACCGCTATCATGTCCCCCCTTAATCTTCTTTTTTCCAAACTAAACAAGCCCAGTTCATGAAGCCTGGCTTCATAGGTCATGTTCTCTAAACCTTTAATCATTCTTGTCGCTCTTCTCTGTACCCTTTCCAATTTCTCCACATCTTTCTTGAAATGTGGCGCCCAGAACTGGACACAGTACTCCAGCTGAGGCCTAACTAGTGCAGAGTAGAGTGGCAGAATGACTTCACGAGTTTTGCTTACAACACACCTGTTGATACAACCTAGAACAGCCATCTGTACTTGAGCAAATGTCACCCTGTATGCAATAGGAATGTTAGATACTGTGAAAGTAAATAGTTGTGAAATAGCATCAAATTTTAGCAGTTACACAATTATTTGATAGCCCCTGGGAGTGGAGCCTGGAGCTGGTTGTGCCAACCACTTGGTGAAGAGTAGCCCACTCAGCAAGCATGCCCCATATGCAACGCATGGTAGCAGCCACACTATATTCTTTATCCCCTTGCACCAAAGCCTTTCTAAGCAACAACACTACAAGAGAACTGTTCATTTGCCTGTCTCACGAGATGAAGTCCTCTTTAAGCTTTGGTCAGTGGCAGTGCCAGAGAGATGGTCCCTTCATTGTGTGAACCACAAGTATTCAAATTTCTAGGGATGTATGCGTTTTTTTTTCTTAAACCCATGCTTCACTCTAAGATTGCTTACCACTCTTGCATCTTAAATCTTTGATCTAATTGCAGGATACTCAAACACACACTGTTATTCCCAAATCACAGCTGTCTTCTACAATAATAGCATTACACTGTACCCCTTAACAAGATTAATGACCTCTGCATAGCATCACTGTAACAGTCAGCAAGTCTGTCTGCAGTACGTCAATTATTGGTCTACTAATCCAAAACAGAATTTCAATCCATTATAAAATCTCTCAGGAGTGAATTCAGATCCCCTATTCCCCTCAAAACCAGTTTCCATAAAAGAAAATACAAGTACACTTGGGAATGCAGTTTCTTAGATCCCATTTTTAGGGGAAACACCCAAATTTAGAGGTAGAGATGCATTGTTACCATTTGTAAAAGGTATACTGTAAAAGCAAGTGGACCCACAATCAGTCTATTTGTTGTGTTCAGGGAAACCAGTAGACTTGCCAGTGCTCTGGGCAAAGTGTGTGTGGGGGAGGGAGATGGGGGGGGGGGGGGGGGACAGGACTGGGGCAGCCAGTTCTCAGGGTACGTCTAGACTGTAAGGCTACTTTGGGATATCCCATATCCAAGGAATGCATCCACTATTTCAAAATAATTTTCGAAATAACGATCGTGCTATTTCAGTATCCATGTAAACGTCGTTGCACAAGGAATAAGGGACGCCTCGAAATAGTGCTTTATTTCTAAATTTGGTGCCGTGTAGACATGCCAAATTTCGAAATAGCCTATTTCAAAATAAAATCGAAATAAGATATGCAATTTGCGTAGCGTAAATTGCGTATCTTATTTTGATTTTAGAGTTCAGTCTAGACATACTCTCATTGCTGCCTGGAGCGCACGATGCTGGTCCCCCCAACTTACCCTGAGAGTCACCTGGAGTGTACCACTAGGTTCTCCGGTAGTAATTTCTCCAGGCCCTTTTGAACTGCTGGGCTCTGGGGCAACTGCCCCTTTGCCCGCGCCCTCCTCTCTGTCAGCAGGACTGGTTGTATTTAAAAACAAGCGTATGCAAGTAATGTTTTTGTCTGCTGTCCCTGCATGCTGTGGTGTTGTATGCAAATAGCAAAGTTAAACTTACTAGAGTCAGGACTGTACACGTGTGATCATAAGCAAAAGCTGTACATTGATTAGCTACCACAACAACAGAAACAATGCTCTTATAAAAAAGGTTAATGACAATTATAGGCCTAATTTAAAACAAACAAAGCTGACACCAGTACACCCTGTATAGCATGTCATTTTCAAAGTAGGCTGAATTTCTGGCTAGCCACTCCTTAACCATAATTAATTCTGACAATGGAAAGGGAAAACAGGTCTAAGAGAACAGCAGAACTAAACATACAGTCTTGAGTGCATTCAGTTCTCACTGTGTTATCTTGGTAGGTAGTAAAAACATAACACATCTTTCTGAAAAGACATCAGGTCAGATTCTCCAAGAATCAAAGCATCTACTTCAGTGGAAGCACTTCTTACAATACAGCCTTTCCGAATAGGCACAGTGCTATGAATGAAAATCCCACCTGTTTATTCTGAATGAAATCATCACAGGTTGGGGGACGGGGGAAATAAATAGTAACATAATAAAGCATGTGCTTTATTTTAGAGGACTTCTTACCTCGTCACTGCTCCATCTATTGGGGAACGAGGGACGGAGCTTCTTAATGCACACAATCTCCCGCATGTCCTCATAGGAGGGGTCAGTGGGCACAAGATCATGGTATGGAAGCTGATATTCTTCAACTATTCCTGAAAGAAACATTTTCCAGATGCATCATAACTGCAGGGTCAAAATCCCAGAGGACTAAGTATATCTGGACTACACCAACTACGCCCTCTTGGACTCTTATCTGTCACACCTAGCGGTGTCTTGCTCAGCATAGACACTAAGGGTATGATCCATGTGAGCTATTAATTCAACTTTGCTTTGGGGAGGGAGTCATCTTTTTGAAGAAAATGAAGTAAAATATAGGCCAAATGGCACAGAAAAAAAAACCAGGGGCAAACAGCTGTGTAAGTAAAAGAAACTGACTCCTCAGCTCCAGCCTCCAGTTTCTCAAGTTAATACATTCAGCTGTGATAAACATACTTCTGTGGCTTACCAGAATAAGATTCAGAAGAAAAAAAAAATCCCTTGAAAATAAAGAGTGTGTATACTATACACATGCACACACACACCCTATAAATCACAACAAAAATTAATGAACTAAATGAAAGTGCATGTAATCATAATGATCAACAATTTATATGCCTAATTTCTCTAGTCTAAAAATAATTTTAAAAAAGCAGCATCTCAGATGCTTGGTGTACTAATTGTTGGTAAATTATGACTTTTTAATGGTGATCATTCTAACCGCTAAATATTAATAACAATTTTAATAACATCGCCATTAGCAATGAAGGGGAATTTATGTGGTTTCTTACATATTACACTATAGTAGTAGCTGGCAAATATTGACTCTCATGATAATCACTTTTAGTGTTTACCAAGAAAGTATTTCTCAAACAATTAATTTTGTATGCTCTTTATAAAATGTTACAATATGCCATTTCCTTTACTTAAAATATAGTGGTTTGTATTATTGTAACTGTCTTCACCCAGAAGCATTTTAATGTCCTTTATAAGCTATAAATACAGAGATCAATTGACCCACAATGTACACGCAGCTCCTCCCCTGGGCTAAAAACCAAGCAGGCATTCCAAACCAGTAACATACAACTGCACTGAAGAGTGTGACAGACCAGCCATGTGTTCTACTCCCAGTCTAACACTGACCAGCTCAGTGACTTTGGGCAAATCTTTTGCCTCTCTAATGCTTCAGTTTCCCCAACTTCCCTTGCACAGCTCTTTTAGATATACAAGTGGAAAATCCTATCTAAGAACCAAATATTATACTTATTCTAACTTCTGAAGCAAAAAAGAGTATCTGCAAATGAAACAGCAGGGAGAATGCAAGAAGGGAGAATGGAATCATCCAATTTGCAGCTCTAAAAGTCATATTAAATCATGTCCGTAAAATATGCAACTATGAATCTAAACCAAAAACACTCCGCCCAGATTAAATTAGGAATAGTATGGGTGATATAGCTATTGTTGTGAGTGTTTTCTAGGCTTGTGGCCTGACTAATACCATTTGGGATCCAGATCTCATAATTTGAGCAGGAGTGGATTTAGGGCCTGATCCTGCAATCTGAGCCACATGAGTGTAATCACAGGCCTACAAAGAGCCTCAGTGACTACATATAGCCTCCGACTGCAATATTAGGGCCTCATTCCATACTTGGATGGCAGATGTCCAAAAAAATTCAGGATGTTGTTGGAATGATGACCACACAGTAGATGCCAGTCTTCCCTCTTACTAATTCCTCCATCCTGGCTGTATTTCTACCTGCCTGGTAAGGAACTTGTGTTTCTTCAAAGATGACAGAGAGGATAACAGTCAACTCCATAATAGTTGTCAGTTTAAATCATTTGTTAACTGTAACACCCAAGCAGTAACAAGCCCCTTTTCTGCTCAAGTACCAGAGCGTTTATTCTCCAGCTTAAATTTTTACCACTCTGAAAGAGCCCTCAAATTATCTCCATATTCCCACTAAAATGATGACTCAATCACTGCATCTTTAAATCAACTATTATACATGGTGTAAATATTTGCTGCTACATTATGATTGATTGAAGCTTGAAATAAGTAGAAATTAATAAGCTTTGGATTGCCAATGTGTTTACCCAGCTTAATTTATTGCAACAGAAACTACTACCCAGAAAGACGGGATGGAACTGAAGCTATGGTTTATTAAGGAAGTTTGTTGTTACAAAGAAAAGCCATGCCTCAGTTACCAACAATATGTTTGCCATTTACCTCCTGAGACACATCTCCTGGCTACCTCCCAAAGGATGAGTCCAAAACTGTACATATCGGCCATGATATATGACTGAAAGTGATTCCTATTCAAGCTTTCATCCAGCACTTCAGGAGGCATATAGCGCTTTGTTCCGACCCGGGTGTTTGGTGGTATGTCTACTTCATTTGTATCACTAAAAGAAAGAGAAGAAAGAGAAGGATCAAACATACAAAATAGCTTGAAAAAAAAGACCTCTGAAATCCCAACCAATTGTAGGAAAAAAACAAATTCAAACAAAATTTATTCTTGAAGAAGGTAAAAAATAATGCATAATCTTAATGGGACAATTCTTACAGGGAAAACTACTTAGTGAGAACAGTGATCTTTCTTAAAAGGATTACTTGCCTGAGGCTATATTACTCTTTCGAATGTAGAACCCACAACAGAGATAGGACTCAGCAGGGATGCTGGTAACATTTGTGAAATTTCATTGTCATTAGGCTCAACTCTAATGCAGGCAATAACAATCAAATCTTCATTAATGTTGCTTTCTTAACATACTATACTACCCACTGCATTCATGTCTTAACAATTAATGGAGATGACTAAAAAGCTGGGGCAATAGTATTTAACTCTGGGCCAAGCTGGGCCTGAGAGGAAGAAGCTAATCTTGCCTAACCTTTCCTCATCTCAAATGTAAAACACTTAGGCTGCGTCTAGACTGGCAACTGCTTTTGCAGAAAAACTTGCCAGCTGTCTACACTGGCCGTTTGAATTTCCACAAGAACACTGACTTCCTACTGTCTGAAATCAGTGCTTCTTGAAGAAATGCTATGCTGCTCCCGTTCGGGCAAAAGCCCTCTTGTGCAAATGCTTTTGCGCAAGAGGGCCAGTGTAGACAATGCGGTATTGTTTAGCGCAAAAAAGCCCCGATCGTGAAAATGGCGATCCGGGCTTTCTTGCGCAAAACCGCGTCTAGATTGGCACGGACGCTTTTCCGCAAAAAGTGCTTTTGCGGAAAAGCATCCGTGCCAATTTAGACGCTCTTTTCCGCAAATGCTTTTAACAGAAAACTTTTCCGTTAAAAGCATTTGTGGAAAATCATGCCAGTCTAGACGTAGCCTTAGATATAATGCAGGACAAATCTAGTCAAATGTGTCACATGTCTGTGGCCAGACAGCCTGCCTCCATATTATCCATCTTATTTGCCTCTCTGAAGCACAGGGCAGAGAAGGAGCAATAATATCAGCATAGTCTATGCTGGCTCATCTGATCCTGAAAAGCTGAAACACAGATATGTGGATAGAGAGTAGCTAAGTCAATAAGCTGGCCTCGAGGCTGCGGCTGGCATCTATGTTGATTCAAACACACACAGTCCCAGGAAGAGGAATTTCCCACTGAGAAAACAATGTCCTGTACTTCAAAATTTAATCATCTCAAATCTCTCTTACAAGTGTAAATTAAGTTCACAACTCCCTTGTAAGAACTGGTCTCACAGCAGACAGACCAGCATCAATTGGCAATTAAGATAAGAAAGAGAAATACGGGACCCCATGATTATAAAAGATGGGCCCAGCACACACTCACTTTGAGTGTCATTCTACCCTCTACCTGCTGGTCGGGTTAGGTGTTTGACCTCCCGAGGTTCTATGGGGACGCCCACCTCGTATTTTCGTCTTTCCTAGGAATTGAGGGACCGGCCCTGGCCTGACATGCTGGAGTCGAGAGGCACAGAAGGGGGTAAAAATGGTACCTGGATGTGGTCCTCTGTCTTAAGTGTACACATAGAAAGAGTAAGCTGTTACTTGGTACCATTATTTCTATTTTTCTATCTTTATCTTCTTTGTAACCATTTTTAAGACCTATATTTTGCTAATAGTTAAGAAATAGAACAATAGCCATTGCAACCATATGATTTATAAGCTTCTTTAATAAACCTATAACTGTTTAAGCTTTAACCTGACTCCTTCAGTTGCTGTAACAGAACCAAGCACCATTTAAAAGAACTTCAGCCGGTCTAAAGGGACAGTTATAGGAAGAGCTTGGGCGTTTGGATCTGTGTCACTCCCAGGTGACAGGACCCACTGGGGCATCTTTCAGTCTTTCCTCAAGGCTGCCCGCTGCGAAGGAATTATGAAATTCTAGCAGCTGAAATCTAAGATGTAATAAGCTCTTCCTATATAACGGGGCGTCTGTTGGCCTGCTGGCCACCCTCTGCGATGGGACCCCGGTCCTAGCAGTAAAGGCACAGACGTTAAACCTTTTCTCGGAAACATACACACACACACTGCCCTGACCGTCGGCTGACAATGTCACACTGATAATGCTGTGAAGAGTGGAGATATAATTCATAAGTAGTACAGGTTGAACCTCTCTAGTCCACACCATGGGGACCTGACCAGCACAGAACCAGAGAATTTGCCAAACCACAGGAGATCAATATTGTCTAGCAGCATTACCATCACTTCCACTGCTTATTGGGTTCTTAGAAGACATGTAGGGGTAAGCTGGAGCTAAATAATAGCACAGAACACTTTTAAAAATGAGTAGTCCTGTGGCATCTTAGAGTAACAATAATATATCATGAGTTTTCATGTAACAGTGGAAAGAAAGAATTAAGTATACCTAAGGTCCTACCAAAGTCATGGCTCATTTTGGTCAAATTTTAAAACATAAAACATAATATATTTCATGATTTCACAGTTTTAAAAGATATTTTATAATTTCAGCTATTTAATCTGAAATCTCATGTTATTGTAATTGTATAGGTCATGCCCCAAAAAGGAATTATGTATATGTGTGTGTGTGGGGGG